GCAAATTTAAAAACAGTAAAACCAATAAACATGCAATAAATCCAAGATGATAAAATGTGAATTTAAGATACAGCAGGAGGGAAAGCCTGCCCAAATAGCCAAGTCTTGAGCTTACTTCTGAAGGCAACCAGAGAGGGAGCCAGGCGGATCTCCATGGACAAGTTGTTCCAGAGGCAAGGGGCCACTGCCAAGAAGGCCCGGTTCCTCGTTCTTTCCTTCCGGACCTCCCTCGGCGGTAGGCCCAAAAATTTTAAAATTTCAACAGACAAAATGTGTCCCAACAAACCTATTGATTTTTGCTATTAGGGTACTTTTTTCTTCTTCCAGCTAATGTAACATATTTGGACAAAGAACACCACGTATTGTTTGTTGACAAAGCATGATACAGTAAAGAAGTGTGATGCTCTGGTTGTGTTGGTACATTGTCCCATTTCAAATAATCTACATTTCTTCCATGGGGGTGAAGGAATTGATTGTAATAAATATATATAATTGTGTGCCATCAATTCAATTCTGACTATGGTGACCCTTTCCAGGTTTTTCTAGGTAGTGGATACAAAAATGTTGTTTATCATTTCCTTCTGCTGGGGGCACCCTGGCACTGTGCATCTTGCCCATGGATACACAAGCTGGCTCTTCTCATAGGAGGCACAGTGAAGAGTTTAACTCCCAACCACTGGCTCCACTGTCAGATACCTAAACCACTGAATTACTCGGCCAGCTAAATGTGTGCTGTCATATCAATTTGGACTTACGGCAACTCAGTACTCAGAGTACTCAGAAATGGTTTACCATTTTCTTCTTCTGGAGGCATCCTGGGACTGTGCAGCTTGCCCAATGCCACACAAGTGGTTTCTATTCAGCAGCAGCAGCAGCATCTCAAAACTGCAAAAAGGGACATTATGGATCTAGCCCTGTGGAACATACTTGATTCTACATACATTTGGGTTTGGTGCATTTTAATATCTAACTAAATATTAATAAATAAGCTAACTAGGTGTGGGCTGGAAAGATCAAGTGTCAGATGGATACATAATTGGCTACAGAATTGTACTCAGAGGGTGATGATTAATGGGTCCTTCTCTAACTGGGAGGAGATAACTAGTGGCTCAGTCCTGGGCCCGGTGCTCTTCAATATTTTTATTGATGATTTGGACAAGGAAGTTCAGGGAGTGCTTGTCAAATTTGCAGATGATACCAAATTGGGCAGAATAGCTAATACCCTAGAACAGTGATCCCCAACCTTGGGCCTCCAGATGTTCTTGGACTTCAACTCCCAGAAATCCTGGCCAGAGGTGGTGGTGAAGGCTTCTGGGAGTTATAGTCCAAGAAAGTCTGGAGGCCCAAGGTTGGGGACCACTGCCCTAGAAGACAGAAACAAAATTCAAAATGACCCACGTAGGATGGAGCACTGGGCCAAAAGCAACAAAATGAAATTCAACAGGGATAAGTGCAAAGTACTGCACCTCAGAAAAAGAAACCAATTGCACAGTTACAAGATGGGGGATACCTGGCTCAGCAAAACTACGAGTGAGAAGGATCCTGGAATTGTCGTAGATCACAAGCTAAATATGAGCCAAGAGTGTGATGTGCCTACAAAAAACGGCAAAAGCTATTTTAGGCTGCATTAATAGAAGTATAGTTAATCCCGCAAGGTGCTGGTCCCCCTCTATTCAGCACTGGTTAGGCCTCACCTTGAGTCTTGTGTCCAGTTGTGGACACCACACTTCAAGAAGGATGCTAACAAATTGGAACAAGTTCAGAGGAGGGCGACAAAGATGATCAGGGGGCTGGAAACCAAGCCTTATGAGGAAAGGCTGAAAGAATTGGGCATGTTTAGTCTTGAGAAAAGACTGAGGAGGGATATGATAGCACTTTTCAAATATTTGAAAGGTTGTCATACAGAGGAGGAGCAAGATCTGTTCTCGATCATCCCAGAATGCAGGACATGCAACAATGGAAGTCAGATTTCGGATGTATATCAGGAAAAACTTCCAAACTGTTAGAGCAGTATGACAGTGGAACCAGTTACCTCGGGAGTTGGTGAGTGCTCCAACACTGGAAATCCTGAGATCCTGTTTAGTATAATACGTTACATTACAGTTGGCCCATTGAATCACTGGAGATTTTGTGAGTCAGTTCCATGAGCTCCATTGATTCAAATGGGCCTACTCTAGTTCTGACATAATATAATATGCTAATATAAGTGGCAACTAGAGCAGTCCATTCAAATGCATGGAGCTGCCAGGGGAGCTGGCTCACCACATTTCTACTGATTCAGTGCACCCACTCTAGTGTGACTTACTACACACTAGAGGATTTTAGCCACTGAGTCATAGAACTGGAGGAGACCTTGGATTCTAGCTTAGTGGTTCTAAACTTTTGGTACTTTGTTTTAAATTTCAGCTCTCGGGATTCTCAGACAACATGGCCAATGGTGAGGAATTCTGGGAAGTGAGGTCCAAAGCATCCAAAGGGCCAAAGATAGGAACCACCAATCTAGATACCTCACTCACAATGCAGGATATAGCTACTGTATATCTAACATCATCAACTTACCATTAAACTTAGGCAACTGACTACAAAGTACATATGATTTTTTTAACAACAGCACAAAAAACCACAGTGTCTCAGTGTCCTCCCAAATGACATTAATAGAACCTGCCCTTGTTTGATGATCTCTCTCTCACACACACATACACAGAGAGAGAGGGGGGGGGTACATATACCTTTGGGCAGACACACACATACACACACACACAAACACAGAGGGGGGTACATATACCTTTGGGCAACCAATATCTATCTTACATACACATGGACAGAATCCTTATTGTACAGCTGTCCCTTTCCCCTGCGGTTTACGTGGCAAAGCAATTACAATTCAGCAGAAGCCTCGATTTCTAAGTGAAATTATACGTTATGTTTTAC